TTCTAATAAAATTTTGCCACATGTGAACAAATTTTCATTTAAATAAAAAATTATATATTTGTAATTATCAATTAGGTATTTTGATTTAAATAGAAATAGATAAGACAATAAATCAAATATTTTTTTTAACTGGACTATTCTAAAATACGTGTTAAAATCTTTTAAGTTTGAATAATCCAAGTCTTCAAGGATATGATATTTCACTTTTGTTTAAACACTTTTTTGTGTTTTTTTTATTTCTCACCAAGCAATTTAAAATTTCAATAATCTTTAACAAAAAAATTGTTTTAGCATTTTCGTCAGGAAAACAATGATTACTATCTTACTCAATAGGTGTAATATGATACGACGATCTATATTAGTTTTATGAGCTTCATACGATTTTTTCTAATTTAACTTTTGTTTTATTTACACCATAGATATCATCATTGAAACAATGACCTCTCTAACCCAAAATCTCAACATCAATTATTTAAAATTTTTTGACACGTGTAAAAACTATTTTCTAATAAGATTTTACCACGTGAAAGAAAAAACAATTTAAAATATCAAAATATTATTATCTGTAAAATAGTAAAAAGTTAACGTCCTATTAAATTTAGTTAAGTGTCAAAAGAGCTTTTATCTATAATCAAAATAACAAAATATCATTATTTGTAAAATATTATCACTGATATGAGGTGATATAATTTATTTTCCTTTTTTATGGATCATAAAGTAAAATTATCTTATTTTACTTCTTGCATGATTAGCTATATACAAGTGTAAAATAATTTTTTCAATTACATTTAGTCATATGTGAAAATATTTATCTATCTAAAAAATAATAATATTTTTATTTGTAAAATAGTAAATAAATAAATGTAATTTAGATAGGATTAAAAAAATCTAACTATTTAGAAAATATGTGATGTAATTTGATTTAAAATCAATTAATATAAAAGAGAATAAATAAATATTTAATAGATTTATTTATAAGTGATTTTGTGTAAACGTTATCAATTTTATTTTATTATTTCATGGAAATAATTATTTTTTGTTTATTTTTTCATGGTACAATCGAATTTTAATTTTTTTTGTTTGCGAGTTGTAAAATATTCAAAAAGTAAAGATAGATCAAATATAAATTTGAAAATAAATTAATCAACATTTTTAAAACGAATATTTGAGTAG